CAATTTGGTCCTATTCGATGATATCTCATTTGGGTCCCTTCTCTGCTCGGTCCTTTTTAATTGATTCTCATTTCGGTCCTACAATATAATCAGTTCTGGTGATTCATATTTTTATTTAACATAGGCAACAATAAAACTTGAATCAATACTATCCAATAATGGAAAAATTGAGCCAGTATTCATATCAGGATTATCAAAGTGAGTTTTTACAACTTCTTGGGAATATATTTGCGAGATTGGTAAAGTTTCTATAGCTGCTCGTTTTTTCATACGAGACAAAACTTTTTCAACGATAATCTTGGCTGGTGATGAAGGAGTACAAGTATGTTAGCCAGGTTCTCTAATAACTGATCTCTTATCTCGTCATAATGAAAATGAAGTTGTACACGGTCTTCGTCCACACCGCCATTCGTTAGCATTTTTATATTTACGTTTAAATGTATATTGATAACCTTAATAGTGAAGTACAAGTCCATTTCGATTAGTTGTTGTAAATTCGATAGACTTATCATTCATCTTTCGAATTCGATACTTCTTAAACAATGATCACTGAGTCGTCAGCTAGTTTAAAATAAATTACTGTCTGGATTTTTCTTGACCAATGATCAATTGTGAAGGAATTTAGTAAATAGTTGTTCCAGGAGACGCGTGACTATTTATAATATTCTTTGTCATTGAATGAAAAATGAACAAACAGAAAATGGACCGAAATGAGAATCAATTAAAAAGGACCGAAACGAGAAGGGACCCAAGTAAGACATCATCAAATGGGACCGATTTGAGAGAGGACCGAAGTGAGAGGTCAGCGAATGGGACCGAAACGAAAAGGCACCGAATCGGGGATATCCCCTAGTAAATGTTATTAAAAGTGTCTTGTCGGAATGTCTGTGCAATGACCAATTGAGTAGCATGTGACTCATATTGATGGTTTTTAGTTTAATGAATTGAATACTAGAAGATAATATATGGAAGAGATATCTAAGACAATGAGAATCTACCAGAATGCATCATTTTTTGTTTTTCTTAGAATTTCTTGTCTCTTTTTGTCTAAATTCTTGATTAGAATATAATACATTCTTACTGTAATAAAACAAAGTCATAGCACCAAAGAATCTATACTCATACTCACTTTACAATTATCAAAGATTTGATATCTCTATGCTATACTAAAGAGAACACTACTGTTGACCATATGTTTGGTGTTGTTATCATCATCAACTAACTTTGATCAAGTTGTAAGACACAATTATTTTTGGTGTCGATTCTAGTGGAATCGAGACCGAGATCATTTTAACCATATATAATTTAGTTTATGCTAAATATTTTATTAATAATTTTTTTCTACAAGTAATGACGCGAACAAAAGTAGATATATCTTATGAGTCATTTTTCCAAATTAAGTCAACATTTCTGCATTATTTAAACATCTAGAAAGCCAGCATTAGATGTTGATCTATCTAGCATATACATGAAATGTTTTCGTTTAACTTGCAGTAATTGAGGTAATTCAGTTTCATTCATATAAACACGTCGTAATGGTTCGTCAGGTCTATCAAAAAGATCTTTACCATTACGAAAACGATCAATAATATGTTTTTGATCTTGAAATTTAGGAATATTTAGTTCCGTATGTGAAAATGAAGCAATTTTTAATCGAACTGTTGCTAGACGATCAAAACAATAAGAACAATGGAAACATGTACTAGGTATTGAACGATAACGAAAACGATCTCCACGTAAATCTGATGGTACTTTTGCATTCGGACTGAATCGTGAAACGGTTCCACCTACTGAATAATGACGAGTAGCATGACGAAATTCAAATGAATAATAATAAAAATCACATTGTAATAAAAGTGATTGAAATGGTAAAGGAAGTTGACATGAAGCAAGAGCTCGAACAAAACGAGATTTAGGTATTTCATCTACATCTGATGTAAGTAATAAAAAATCTCTAAAAATAATCAAATGAAACTAAATATAAATATGAACAATAGAATTTCTAAAAGTTATACTTTGTTGAATTTGGTAAAGCTAATCGAATTCCTTCATCTCTCATTCTTTGTTCGTTATTCCAAGAATTTTTTGCCTTATTGATTGAAGTGATAAGATTGACTTCAACACGACGCATTTTATTGTGATACCGAGCAAAACGTGACCAATTTTCTTTCAAGTATAATGGTTTTGATTTTCCACTTAATGTTTGGTTACTTTCAGCAATAAGAAATAGAGTAACATAATCATATAATTCATAGAGACGAATTTTTAACATATCAAATTCATTATTAAATATGAAAAAGTCATAAATAAGAATATTGTTATGCGATGCATTTCGAAAACCAAACGCTGAACAATTCACTGGTTCTATTTGTATATGTTTTCTATTGAAGAACCATAATTCTTTAAGATCAAGTCGTTCACACGAAAAGTAGACGAAACAAAAGAATGAGATTATTAAAATGGTGAAAAAAATATTTTCTCGTCTGTCGAAATGGATTAGTTGTGCCTTGAAAAAGTTTGACCACATTCTGTATGTTGTTTTTTTCGAGTTGTTCTATTGACTTAGACCGTACACGAAGATATGTTGCAATAAGAAAGCAAAACACATGGTCGCGGCATTACCTAAAACATGTTACTTGTTTAATATTTGTCATCACTAAATAGTTAAAGAAAAAAACGAAACATGCTTTTTCATATAATAAAGTATTGTGATTTGGCAATAGTTTCGTATGTATATGTTGCATCGAAGTTAGCAAAAAAAGAAAATAACGATCACAGATCAGCGTACCGCATAGACTTGCCTTACTAATACTTCTATGTTTTTAACAATTAGATCTCTTTCGAAAATTCAACCTTCATTTTGTTTGTTGATTGCAAACATCAAGTCTAGGGATGCAACGGTGACGATAACCGGTCTAATCGGTAACCGGTCTAACGGTAGCCGTTCGACCGGTAACCGGTTCAGATCGGTTATCGTTCCACTCACATATTGTTTTACGTTTGGAGCTATATCTTGAATAAAATTTTTATGAAA